TTTTTTTTTCGTATGTTTTTTTTTTTTAATACGAGTACAAAGGTCAGTGAATTGAAATGTACATTAAAGCTTTCTAACTGGCCCCGGCTAATGATAAAAGTGTTGCCTTTTCATGCGACAAAGTGACGTCACTTTTACCACGTGAAAAGAAATAGCAGAAGTCTAGACCCAGGCTCGTTTCATAAAGCCTCACAAGAAAACTCCAAATTATTATTTCATATTCACCGTATTCAATAGCGTAAACAGTATAAACATCCAAGCGTCCGTTCGATCGCTGGAATAATTCAAGTGCTCACTGCTTAACAAGTTGAGCTTTTGTCCGCAGTCCTTTCCCTGAATCGTTTGTGCATTTGAGCCAAAACATAACTCTTCAGTTTTTAGCATTGCTGGGTTTCTGTCAGCTAGAGATGAGCCAGGAATATCATCCTCACAAAGCAAAACAGACATGTTAACCCAGTCACTTCTCCGATCATCTGTAATTTTTATCCTACAACGCCTCGTTTTCGCGTTTGACCGTTCGCTCACCCCAGGAGGGCCGCCATTTGTGAATACGGTGTATTAGCTGAAGAATTTCTATTGTCTAAATGTACATCACCATGACCCTGGCCATTCAAAGACCAAAAGAGATTTAGTGTAAATATTTTTTGTCTGAAAGTACTTTTTTAAAACAATTTTGCTTTATCTACCACTGATTCTAAGGCACCTGGGATGATGCACTCATATTTTGCTATATCCAGAAATTTTATCCCGTATTCTTTGTTCAATTACTGCTACAAGGAGTTAAAGATTGAAATATACATTTTTTTTTTATTTCTGGTTAATCAGTCACTGAGATTACTCTGTTTTTTTTTTTTGTTTTTTTTTCTGTCAATTACCCAATCAATGAGTTCTTCTCATACTTGCCAAGTTCTGTGGTTTGCAGCTGCGATGTCAAGTCATTTACTTTACGCCTGACCATAACACTTGAGTTTTCCTAATGTATGATATCCTTCTTCGTCTGACTCATCAAAGTCTCCAAGTCTGATTTGTGTCACAGGCAGAGTAGACTTGTCTGCCAACAGACCGCTGTCCTCATACCATCCCCTAACGCTGTTATCACAGTTGCACTTTGTACCACCAGTACAAGAATTTGTTACTCCGCATGCGCACATATTGTCACGGCCTGTAGCTCCTCCCCAGTAGTTCATCCGTGTTCCATCACGTGACACCCACCAAGCATAACT